ATTAAAATTATTTTAAATAATATAAGATAGTATCCACCAAAGTGGTATTATAGTAAACCTAGCAAATAATGTTTTAAACAAATAACTAGAATTATTTTGAACTAACAAATGGTTGATTTAACTGTAAATTATTTCTCAATTTTAGATTTTTAAGTTTGTACATGCTTTAATTTTATTTGTAAATATTTTGATGCTGTTTTAAGGCCAACATTTCAAGATGTTGCCGTAGCAACTATGTATTTATTTATTTATTCAGATGTGTGTTATGTATTTTAAATTTTCATAAATGCTTGTGTACTTATCGAAATGCAAGTCTCAGAGTCTGTTGACCAGAAAATCACAGTGGAGTGCTGTTATCCACTTGGGTTTCATTATGTCACATCACATCATTTCTATGTGCAGTGGATTGTTGTTATCCACTTGGGTTTCACATCACATCATCTCTATGTGCAATGGATTGCTGTTATCCACTGGGGTTTCACTGTGTCTCATCACATCATCTCTATGTGCAGTGGATTGCTGTTATCCACTTGGGTTTCACTATGTCACATCACATCATCTCTATGTGCAGTGGATTGCTGTACACTGTTTACACTGGTAAACCAATGACCTTGATATTTAATGAACATATCTCCCCCTCCCTCATTTCATTTGCAGTGACGAATAATGCATTAACAGTATTCCACTGTTTATATGATATTGAAATGTTTTTTTAGATAAGTTGGTTGATTACAATAAAGGCTTGCATCATTTGCTGTCATATATGAATATCATTTCTGCAAAAAACAAACTGAGCAGTACCTTGATAGTGTTAACCTAACTTCAACACGTTCACATATTATTCATACAAATTTTAATCAGTTAAAAATATCATAGTTTAATCCTCAAAATGTTGTATATTAGCACTTCGTATGTGAAAAAAAATATATACACATATGTAAATATTATCCACTTACTTAAGGTTAACTTTTTCACCACCAGACTTTCTGCCCAAATGTTTCTGTACTTTTTTCTTATACCCTTCAATATTTCGGAAAATGAACCCTAATTTTGGAACTAACAGACAAAATTTGAGTCAATTCTCAGTTTATACTCAAATTTTTTTATATTTTTTGTCACAGTTTCTGAAGGAAAGTGCAGAGCATAAACGGAACTATTTTGTAAATTTGTGATGAAAAGAGGGAACTGGTGGTGAAAAGGGTTAAGAATTGCACTGATGAGGATATTTGGCAAGACTTGTTTTCAAATGGTTTGATTGGCTGCAGGGTCATGTAGTGATGTCAGGAAACCAGAAACGGTAAATATTATGGGATATCCAATCAGCAGGCTCTGAGATTCAGTGCATTTATGAAGTGAATGTTTGTTATCTGCAATTAATACAAATAGAGATGAATAAAGCTCAGGATTCAATAGACTTTGCTAACTGTCATGTGTATAATGTCCATTCGCTGGTTGTGTTGTCATTCTACATTACCCAACTCTTTCACAGATAAATATTTCTTTGAATCTTTGAGTCCCTTGTGGAATACAAGCATGGTTATCCAATTTATTCTTCTAACAAAGTAAATCACAGAATATTACATATGTTTGAAGCAGTAGACAAATCCATCATGATTGCCATCAATTTGGCAAAAGTTCATTATGAGATAGCACAATTCTATATAATCACATGTGGTTTCACTGCATGTATTGCGCATAATCTGGCTGGTTCAAATAAAAAGCCAAGTAGAACTTGATCAGATGAGATGTTCCGAAACTTGTGACGACTTGGACAGCTTGAGTAACTTTATTACACAACTTTTATCATAGTAAAAAACATGTGTGTTGGGTTCTGCTTCAATTACTGTAACAGTAATCAGCTGTGCTTCTGAAACAAAATAAGTGCATTGGTTTATTGGTATGATGTATTTTGTTTATGTATTGCAATACATGAAATATGATACTAGAATGAATTCAAAGTATTTGGGTCCAAATGTGTGGTCCCAGTGACAGACAACATAATATGCTCTGACTGAATATTCCAGATAGTTGAAATAATTCCATACAAATGGAATTACTTATTATTCAATAACAAGGACGTCCATACATTCATGTATTTTTTATCAGAAAGGTTATATATAAGAGTTGATATGCGTATTGCACGCTCAGTGTCAAACCTATCAGTTTCAGTGCACTCAATGTTCCATTTTTAACATAAATATATAGCATGTTAGTTCTCTGAACAAACAGGTACCGTAAAATCTGTATTAGAAGCCGCATCCCTAATAGAAGTCGCACCCATTTTTTTTTAATAATTGAGAACCAAAAATTCATCATTTCTCATATGTGTAGATGCTCTATTAGAAGCCGCATCCCCTCTGTTGCATTGTACCATTTTAATAGAAGCCGCGGTTTCTAATACAGATTTTACAGTATATATTATATGCATACACAATGTACTGGCAAGGTGATATGTTCATGGATGCATGTATGCAACAGTAGGGGTACCGTAAGTCACATAAAACGTTGAAGTACTCCAAAAAACATGGGTTCAGTTCCATGAAAAAGCATCAAAATGCTCTGTGCCTGGCCTTGCAGCTGCAGAAACCTTGAATTCAGTCTTTAAATCCAGCAAAAGTATAACATTTTCTATTGGAATACTTAATTAGCAAAATGATTATGCATGTTATGATTTGTAGAATTTTATGTTGAATGGTAGATGGAAGAGAATATTAAAGTCAATAGGCCAATCATCATTTTAGACTTTGTAAGCAGTAAACTAGAAAATACCCATGGATGCTCAAAGCATATACATGTATACAAGCCAGAATTTGATAGGTCTAAAAAATACCTGCCAACAAGCAAACTGCTCTCTGATTGGTCCGATTGTTAGGGTTTGGGTTGGGTAGCCAATCAAGCACAATCTTGTAAGTAACTCGTGAATGCCGAAATTTTCTGATTTGATTTTCGACCAAGTTACCCAAAATTGAAAGAGCTTTCAACTAAGTTTTGTAGATAATACAACTTTGACATAGATATTACTCATGTTCTATCTCACCATCATGGGACCCACAGTGATATGCAGAGAATGTCAATACAATTAAATAACTTTGAAAGAAATTGTAAGTAAGCTTACCAAGAGAAGATAAGAAGAACTGAAAAGTTTGTTCATTTCTGATGGTTGATGCAACATATGCAACAGTACCAGCCATACAGTCATGTCTTGGTGGTGTCAGTAGTTTGCTTAGTACACTCACAAGATGTGTCACAATGCAAGGATCAAATACAACATCTGAAAATCAACAAAGTAATACATTGTTATATATCTGTGATGTAAATATGAAAACATCTTGAAGCATTTGCATTAAACCAACACTAACAAGCCATGCATGGCACAGTCCCTGCTAGTTATCAAATTTAATATACATGTATATAGTTTTGTTTATAGTAATATAGTTAGAACAAAAACATGTCAGAGATATGTATCCAGGAGCTGATGCTCGATTATGATTTTTTAAATGGTTGACATTCATGCAGTCATCTAGTATCTGATCATCAAATGAGTACATGTCCATACTGAGAGATATTGCTCTGAAACAAAATGGCCACTGGTCAGCCATTTTGAATACATCTGTATATCTATGACATGATATATAATG